GGGAAAGAGGCTGAGCGAGGGGCGAGCAGCCCCCGTGGGCTTGCGGTGCTGCAGGATGCCAGCCCTTGTTAATGGCTCAGGAGCCTGGAGCCGCAGGATAGTGAGCTGCCCGAGGAGGAGGAGGGCTTAGTGGCAAGGTGACCCAGAGGGGACAGCGGGAGTTCAGGCAGCTGAAGTTCTCCAGCTTTTCCCACTCCCACAAACCCCATCCAACCGGTGTCAGGACTGTATCTGCTGTAGGGGACAAATGGAGATGCTGTCAGGTGACAGCCAGATAAATGAGAGAGGGAAAAAGAACTTGCAAGCTTGGCAGGGAATAAAGAGGGGAAATTGCTGAGACATGGCTGAGCTGGCTGCTGCCAGGAGTAAATCAAGTTCCCGTAAGGTGTCTGGGAATATGTACCCAGATACTTCGCACAGGAACTGGCTACAAATCAGGGTTAGGTTGGTCAGAGCAGCGACGGCAAGCTAGGGCTTGCAAAAGAAAGGGGAAGAGGACTAGAGCTAGTCTTCTCCAGCCCACAACCCCATCTTCTTTAACCCACTCGCAGACCCCAAGAGGGGACCAACCTGCTCACCACCTACACCACGGGTAACAGCCACCTTCCTTTCTGAGAGGTTGCAGAAAAGAGAAGCACTGACCCTGCAAACCCAGGAGGATTGGCCCAGAAATGCAGGCCAGTGGCACCCCATTTTCCCTCTGCCGCTTGAGGCCTGGCCAAGAGCGCAGGCTGGGACACGACTCACCTCTGTCTCAAGCAATGCCTCTCCCGGGACATCACGCCTCCTCCGCAGGACCGGGAGCAGGTGGACCAGGAGCTCCATTCTCCCCACCACTTGGTGACTTCTTCATCCCAGGGGCCAGCTCCATCTGCTGCCTCACTACTGTCCTGACAGAAACAGAAGATGGTTAGCTGGAGAACCTGGCTCCTCACCAGCAGCCCGATGAGGCCACACCAGGCTCGCAGGTCTCCAAATTCCACTTTCCCTCCAAGACAGTTATGCACAGGAAGGAGGATGGCTCTGGGATCTTACAGCAACCGTGTAAAGAAGGGCAGTGGGGCTGGGTGTGTGTGACAGTGACACCAGCTGCAGCCTAACCCCCCAGCGTCGCTCCCAGCCCGGGTAAGGTCAAACAGAGGATACACAATGGTCACTTGCTCTGCATTTCAACAAATAAACTTCTCTTTGAGACTAAATCAGCTCAGATCCAGGTTTCTCATCTTCCAACCTCCTCAAAAGTAATTTTCAAGAGTGCCTTAGAACCAGAGCCTCCTGCAATTGCTGTCGCCCCCTCTCCCCCATCCACTCCACTATGCTCAGAAGAGGATTGCTACCTCTCCCAACATGCCTTGCTGGGGCTGAGCCTTTAAATTTGGCAAACCTGTGCTCTTCTGGCCCCAGCGTGATCATTGCAGCAGGCTGCTGTGGGCTGTGCCTCCACAATTCCCAGCAGGTAAGGGATGCTATGTTTTAGCTGGGGTTTTTTTCCTTACACTATTTTTCTATTTAGTGTCTGATAGCCTAAAAGCTCCCAGGGACTTTGGCAAACTAGCCTGCGCAGGAACTAATTTGGTGTTTACTGAAACACAGCTGTGAGTGGTGTTAAATGCAGCAATGAGTTTAACATGGGACAGAGACTGGAAGGGATTTATCCAGCTGAAAATGCTGACCGTGTTTCAGTATTAGTACAGGAAAATGAATAATTTGTGCATGTGTGAAGCCTGCTGTGTTAAAGCAAGGGCTTGGGGATCTTGTATCAGTGCTACTGTTAGCAAAACATGATGGTTTGTGGCAGTGGCTGATGGCTGTTGCAAAGAACTGGTCTGCAAAGCGCAATTGATGGATGTGAAGGAAAACTCAGCATGGTTTGCGCATCACTAAATGTGCTCTGTTTGCTGTTTTGGTTGACTGTCTCTTGGCGTTACGCTCTTTCACGGTGTAATAAAGCCAAAGTGTTCTTTAACTTGTAGTGTAATTCCTGCCTGAGAATGTGTCATTTTGACAGCATCTGCCAACTGAACATCCTCTGGGCAGAGGAGATGCAGCTGGTTTTGCACAAATGTTTTTAAGTCGTAACTTAGCGCGGTTGTAATGTACGTAGTGTCTCGTCTTGGTGATAGCCAGAGCATATTGAGAGTAACCTACTCTGCTGCAGAAAAGCACCACGTTACCTGATACTTTACTCTCTAGTGACTGCAACAGTTGATTTTGAAAACAATACAACAAAACCCTTTGCTGCACTTGGATGTTCTGGAAGGAGCTGCCTTGCCTGACAGGGACCAAATGCTGTGGCCAGCAGCTGAGCTGCTCAAGAGAACAACGAAACTTAAAAGAAACAGACATGTTTTCAAAATTACCTTTTCTCTTCTTACACAATCATCTCAACCTATCTCCTATGAGAATTTTTGTCTGGGTACATATTATTGGACTGTAAACGGAAACGTTGACTATGTAGGTTTCACATTTACAAAGGAAAGAAATCAAAGGTGTCTCACTGTAAGGTATTTCCACCTAAAATCTTTCCCTGACCCCTCCTATGCTTCCCTGTGATAAGCATCTCAAGGCCTGTGGAGGAAGAGCAATTCACAGCTGTCAGGAAGTAGAATCCCAATGATTTACCAGGTATCTGTGCGGAGAGCCCAGCGCAATACAGCCTCTCTCATAGCTGGGGTAATCCAAGTTGGTGCCTTACCACTTCACTGGGTGGACCAAAAGCTGGAATATTTACATAGGTTTTCCTCAGGTAGCAATAAAAACCTGTGTATTTGTAACCTGCAAGATAGTCCTGCTCCAGAAATCTTACAATCCAAATAGGTGAGAAGGGGCAGAAAGGAAATGGGTGAAGGGAAGTGAAATAGCCTGTTCTACTGACCTGCCCCTGGATATGAAAACCTTTGTGTATTTGGAGTGGTGGAAAGCTGCAGGCTCCTTTCCAGGGTTACTGCTCGTGGCTCTTTTGCCTGGGTGCAAGGAGACTTGGCATGTGGTGGCAGAGCTGAGGTCTGGGGACGAGCAGCATCACTGCCTTTGTGTGCCTCTCTCTTCCAGTTAGAATAGGATACGTTCCTCTCTGTGCTATGACTTTCAGGAACGACAGGAGCCTAAATGAAGATTTACTGAAGGATGCTACTTGGAGACTTTTTTTTTTTTTTTAAATAAAATATGTTCCTCTATATCCATAAGCCCTGTTCCTGCTTCCTCTCTGCACTGGAGGAATCAATCACTTTTTAAGTAGATTGATTTGGCTCTCAGGTTTTCCATGACCAAGCTCTCTTGCCAGTCCTTGCCTAGGAGCGTTTATTTCCTCGCATAAGCAAGGACAATGCTGAGCTGTCCCCTTGGCAAGTGAGACTTACAGCACAACTATATCGGAGTCCTAGGCCTGAAGGGGGAACTTCAGGTACTTAGAGCTGGGGCAGCTGGTTCTAATCTGTGCTGAATTTATTATATTGCCAGAAATAAATCTGCATTAGCCATGACACACAAATGGTTCTTGGTTTTAAGTAGAGATACTTGCATTTTTCCAAATTTCCAGATAATAAATTACGGACTGTGGGACAGCCTCCAGCTTAGATTAGCTCTTAGCTTCAGCTCCCCAAACCCCTCAGCAAATCCCAAGAATTACCTTCTGGCAGAGTGAATCCCCCCTCCCCACCTCCTCCTTAGAGAAGGAGAACTCAAAGGGGCTTTACAACAACTCTTGTGCACTCTCCTGGCTATGGGAAATGCTGGAACCACTCTAACTTGCACTCTGCTGCAGAATCACAGAAACCCAGCAGGCTAGAAACACCGGAGCAGGAGATGGGCATAGGCTCAGTCTTTACAAGGCTGGCTCAGCTTGGGTGAGGGCTCTGATTAAAGGAGGTAAGAGGGTCAGGTAGGATTCCTTAGGTGATGAGGAATATAAGGCCTAGAATTTACATCCCTCAAAAAGACAGACCGTATTCCAGTTCAGCCAGGTGCTTTCCACAAGAACGTCCCCTGAGGCGTTTGTGGCTTGGCATGCAGTGATGATACAGCTGCAGTTCTTCCTCTCTCAGGCTGAGTTATTTCTGTGCCTCTGCACCTACACTGGAGACCGCACAACCGAGGAGGTGAGGGCTGCCCTCCTGTCCCCTTGCTGGGGGGACCAGAGCTGGGAACCCCAACCTCCAGAGAACTTTTCCAGGATAAAATATCTGTCTCTGGCTTTGCCAACAGCAATGACAGAAACATCAGTTTTAAGTCAGCATCACTGAAAGCTTTTTCTGCCTACCTGAAGACTCAGCAGCTGCTTCCCCTCTCCCCCTTCCTAAACAAAGGCTGCCACAAGCACAGTGCTTCAGCCCTGCAAAGAAGGGTGGGCCTGGACTGACATCCTATCGGATTTCCAGGGGGTCTTCTGAAGAGCTGGAAGGGATAAAATAAATTCTCTGCTGACTCTCTGTCGTGCTCTGGATCAGCTCTGAACCACGCTGGGTTTCCCAGAAAGCTGGGAATAACTGCAATTATTGTGTCGGTGGCCCAGTCTCCTGTGTTGCTTATTGTTGTGCCTAATCTTGAGATTCATTAGAGCCTGGGTCCCAGAAAAAAGCTCTCTGGGGAGAGAGACCACAAGCATGCTTGTCTAGTTCCCTTAGTAGAGGAGCTGGGAGGGCGAAGGCTCTCCGTTGCAGTCTGGCATGCCTGAAGGACTGGCCCACCACTGAAGGGCACAGTAGCTGTCATGAACTGTTCTGCTCAACCCTCTCAGAGCTTGTAACACTACTAGAAACAGCAGCTGAAAAAGAAATGAGTTCTTCACAGACCTTTTCTGAGGCCGTTAACTGCACGTCCCCTAACAAAAATTTCCATGATCCCTTTACTTTAAGGGCTTCTCTCTACAGCAAACCACACTACTTGCTGAAATACTAAGTAGCTTTAGATGTCTTAATGCCTGGAGCAGATGTCAGATTATTATCTGGAAATGAATGACCATGTTCAGCTCCCCTGGTTTGGGTTCCCCTGTGTCATGCTCTGACTAAAACTGTGGTGATAGTCTCTACCGCAGCCCTGAAGAAAAAAAAATAGCATTTGCAATTGCACCCTGATGTTTTACAAAAGAATTGGTGTTTGTGTAAAGCTATTTCTCATCCTGTCATTGTGTTATCCTATTTGGGTAGGCTAGATAGTTTGTGTGAGAGATTCAATGCTGGACGCAGACACAAAACCAACTTTTCCTTGCAAAAGCTGAAACAAGATATCTGAGAAGGAGTTTCCCATCCTTGCAAAAGTTGAAACAAGATATCTGAGAAGGAGTTTCCCATCAGGGGAAGGTACCCTGAGGTCAAACAAGCAATGCAGAATAATTTTTATCAGATCAGGGAGATCACCAATCCGGGGGAAAAAACTGTAAGCTTGCTAAAGATGTGATACTGAAGCAGATAAGTAACAGAAATCTAGACATATATAACGAGGTGCAGATGAGAAGCAAATTAGAAAGCCGGTAAACAGAAGCCAGCAGAAAACTATCAAGTATTGTTCACAGTCCTGCCACGACAGTGCTGTATGTCATTATAAAATACTTGATCCAAATGAGTTAGGTCATTCCCTTCAAGTGGGATAGCGCACTTATTCTGGGACAAGCCAGTAAAAGGACAGAAATTGGTGAAGGGTAAGAAGGGAGTAACGGGCAGTGCACATGAGAGGCATCTCTATTGTCAGTTTTTTTGGAGGCAATGAACAGAGTTAACCCCATGTAGGGAGGAATTTGCTTACCCTATCTACGGATTGAGGCTTTCTATGAAACTTTGTATAATCCACAACTGTTGTGTAACTGTAGATAGCAAGAGGAATTGCAGGCTAATCCTCTAATCACCTTTTTGTGCACTGTCTTGCACTAGAGACACCAATAAATACTACCACATCT